ATATATACTGCAATTAATTTGTGTAAGTTTTATGATTTCAACATAAATTTCAGTGGTGATTAATTTTTGTAAATTATCGAATAACTTAGTTTGATAAAAGATGATGTAATTCAAGTTCAAATTGCACTACGATATATAATTTATAACTTGAGTTCAAATTTAATTGTGATATATAATTTGTTTTCAAATGTTGTTCATTACAAAACAATACAATGCTAAACATAGAAGTAATCACTTGAAAATAGAACAGTAAAAGTCAATAGAAAGAATTAAATAATGAAAAAATATAAACTGGATGAAAAATGAATGGAGCAAATATAAATACATTTTAATTTTCATGGCTAGATAATTATGAAAGTAATGAATTAGATAGGATAGGATAATAAGAAGTATGACTTAAAAGAATGGAGGAAAAGATATCAAAATATAACAGTGATAATTAATAAAAGAAAACAATCAGAACAAACAGTGAAGTTAAAAATACAGTGGATGCAATTAGTACTTTCAAGTAATAAAGATGAAAGAACTAATTGTTGCTTTTAGCTAACAAATTTGTTGCAATTACCTGAAAAGCGTTTGATGGTATCACGGCAATTGGAGTTTCACCAATACCTAAGGTTAGCAAATGTGGGACGAATGTGAACATTTCAGGTTTCCAGGAAGGAAATTTGTTACCAGTAAGATATAAATGTTGCAGATTAGGAATTCCTTGAAATGCTTGCGGAATGATTTGTGAAATGCCATTAAATTCAAGTGAAAGTGAATTAAGATTTGGAAAATCTAAGGTACCAACAGGAACTTCATTAATTTGATTCAAACCTAAATTCAGATTAATCAATGTCTCTCGCTGATTAACTAATGAGGCAGATGGGATGATATTCAATGCATTAGTTTCCAGGCTTAGTTGTTGCAAGGAACGTAATGGTCTGAAAATAAGTGAATCATCAAGAGTTTGATCCGTAAGTCGATTTCCAGCTAATTCCAATTTCTGCAGTACATCTCGTGATTTATAGTTTATGAATGAATTAGAATGCAGTTTACTAATGCGATTTCGATTCAGGGATAGTTTCCTGAGATTAGTTAAACGTGGAACACCAGTTGCTGGTATTGCACCTAGCTGATTATCGGAAAGGTCCAAGTCGACCAACTTATCGAGACTTGCTCCAGCAAATGCATTATCATCTATTTGATTTAGATTGCATCGATTTAGCACTAGTCGTGAAATCGTAAAATCATGAAATATATAGGCTGGAAGACTTGGAATTACGGTATTTGTTATATGGAGAACAGCTATCTGAAATAATGAAATGATATTATCTATTGAATTGTTTGAATTTGATCAAGTTTTAAAGATAAAGAAATAATAAATTTTTGTCTTAAAAGAAAATCTTTTCTAACTGATTAAATAAAGTATAGAATTTCAAAGTTTTTGGTGAAATTAATAAATTCCCCAAATTTCAAGAATTTCAAAAAGGTTTTTTGGAAATTATATGATTGATTAAAATAGAGATAGTTGAAAACCGAAAAAAATATTTCTTACACCCAACGTATTTAGAATAATGCTAATGATTCATCACTATAAACTAATCCGTTATTCCTTTGTTATATCACATTTTTTGGAACAATGAATCCTTTATCTAAACCTCAAATAGCATGTGTATTATATGACAGTCAATAAAATTTTACGATAATAAAATTTCTCGACAATAAATGTGAATCGATACAATATGCAACCGAATAATTGAAACAGCGACGGAATAAATGGTACTGATGAAGAGGAGAAAGAGAAGACTGCCATCGATCATGTCTTTTTTTATTAGCTGATTAGGGAAGACTTTTAAGGATGTAGAAAGTGCGCTGGGATTGACAATGAAGACAGATGTACATTTACTATTTGAGATTTAGATAAAGAATTCATTGTTTCAAAAAGAATGGAGTATAGCAAAGGAATAACGAATTGGTTTATAGTGATAATGATCTTTGATTTCATTTAAGAAATGAACTGTAAAGAGTTCAGTTATATATATAATTGAAATAATATCAATAAACAATGACATACTGTAACACTTCGTGCTTCCGTTATGGCAGTTAATACATCGGATAAAGTAGATGCATTTTCACAAATAATAGCGACAGGCTCGTGAATAGATGGTGCACAACGGCAAGGTGATTGCAATGGTGGACATTGAGTAAGCGAAAATGGAAAAATATTTAAAAAATGAAAAATTATAAGGAGTGGTAGTTGGTAGGAATAATAATACAGGTAGAGAGGACACATGTTGTTAATAATATTAGTGGCAATAATAGTAATAATAAAATGAGAATGAATTTTATTTATATGCAGATGAGATAATAAATAACGAACTGATATTTAGGAAAAGGAAATCATCGATTTAATGACAAATAGGTGATAATACTTCATACAGTTTTAATGTATGAATTGAATCCAGCCAAATGTTAAAAGTAAGCAAAATGAATGTTAAGCCAAGCTGTCTCTTAAACACTTCTCTCTATTCACTTTGCTATAGCTGTGATGTATACAATATCGCTGTTACGTTGACAGTGTGGACAAACAGAAACGAAACTACAGACAGATAAAACCAGCCTGTAGTACAATTTCAACTATCTTCTCCAAACACTCTACTCCACTTTTTTTTTCAACTCTTTTTCTCATATCACCTGAGAAATTCTTATAAATATATATTTTAAAATAGCTGTAAAGTAAATAGATAGTTTAATTCAACATGTATAAAAGCTATTCTTCAAGTAACAACTATGCAGTGCTTAGCAGCATCAATTGGATGAAAGAATTAACAACACTGCTTTCTTCAACTATATTCTTTAATCACCTGAATTACGATACGAATTCTTTGGAATTCAGTTTAATAAAACTACAAGATCTGTAAAATTACTTTTGTTTACAATGTTATTAAGAACTGGTGACTACAACATATCATCATAAAGTCAAGAAATTTCAAATTGAACCTATTCATAATTCTCAGAGTTATTCTTTCGTTAATATAACGATATTTTGCTTAGCAGTTTCATGTTTATTTATCAAAATTTTTCACTATAAATTTTTTTCTTCTACAACCACTTTGTTTCTAGTGAAATCAGCAACTGAATCCGTTCATTGCCTGTATTTTAGAATAGTAACAACGGACAAAAATGTCAGAAAAATCAAAACAATAGTGTCAGATGCTGCTAAGGGAAAAAAACGAGCAATAATAAAGTCCCAATTCTCTACAACTCATTTAGATAATTTTCCACATCTTTCTTTAAAACAAAATCATTATTCCTAAAAACGTTTAGCAACCAGTATGACAAATTCTGTCCTTAATTAATGCATTATCAATTCGTATTACAGACAAAATGATCACACTCATTATTTGCTCAACTAAGTCAAACAACCAAAATCCCACGTGCTAAAAGTCAATCAACATCAGCTGCAAATTTCACAACTGATAAAATCATTTTCGCAGTCGAAAGAAATAATTGTATCACCTAATGAAGACTGACGGATACAAAAATTCAACATACAAAGTTCTGGATATTCACAATCTTCATGGATACCGCAGTACATTATCAGAAGAAGGAACTTCCTGCGCATAAATCTCCAGATATAGCTAATGAAATCCCTCGTGAATTTCTGACATTTTTCCAATCAAATAATTGTGTACTTAATTTAAAGTAAATGAAAAGTGAAGACTCAACATAAACTATAATTTCGGATATTCATCCTGATAGATCTTAGTGAATTATCTTTCGGAATGTTTACTAACAGTATTTAGAAAGTCTTTTTTTTTTTTAAACTATAAGAGAAAAATGAAAATAAACACAAATGACATCCGTGTAAAGCAATACCAGTTGCACTCTTAATTTAAAATTAATAAAACTCAACACAGACTCAACACAAGTTATATTTTTCTACATTCTTCCTGATGGATCCAGCAAACTATCTCTCGGAATGTTTACTAACAATATTTAGGAAGCGTTTTTTTTTTTTTTTTAAACTGTGAGGAGAAATGAAAACAAACACAAATAACACCGTTTTAAAACTAGTTGAAATGATAATAAATTTACATAATCAGGCTAGTAAATGAACTAAGCCCAATAAAAGCACTATTAATAGTCCGCAAAACAATGATTTTGCATCGGACAAGATTATACTTGAGAAAATATAGATGTAGCAGAGTTTCGAGATTTCTAATGAGTTCAAAAGAGACAACGAAATAACTAATATCAACTCAAAAACGTAAAGGTGATTAAAAGTTATTCAAACACTCATATGAATGATAAAAATTAAGGAACAATAAATCAGCTGTACAAAAAAGGGAATCTCGTTGCAGACTAGAACGAATAGCCTCCATCAATATATTTCCTTGTCCAAATCTTTCCAGACTGCTAGTGAAAATGTTTTAAATAAAACATGACTACTAAAAGTGACAAAAATATGAATCCAGACAGCATGAAGCACAAATATGATACTCTTGTATCAGTTAGACGGAAATAACGGCCCCCTGAAGAACAACTGAAATTGAAACAGAAAACAGAAGCATAAGATACTAAATTAGTTATAAAAAATATATCTGAAGAATACATGACAATGATCTTATAATTTATCGAAAAAGAAATTCCGATAAAACTTACTTAAATGCACAACACAAGTACCAGCGCAATATTACTAATTACACTTTCAAGTTCCAATATTTTTTAAAAAAATATATTTACGTTAATCTCATTTGAGGGTTAACAAAGTACAGCAGTAGGAATATATATTATAGGAAATAGGACACTGTTTAATACACATTTACATTTATCGAATTACATTAAGTAAAGCATAAATCAGTTTTTAGTAAAAGTAACTGACAATAATGCAAACATTCTGCAAAAAATCCAGAAGCACTGCAGTGAATATAAAAGTTATCTTACCAAATCAAGTGCCTATGGTTCAGCTTTTTGAATTGCATAATCCGAGAACATAATCTGGGAACAAGAGATCAGTGAAAATGAACAAGAATAGCCCAGTGATCACTTGGAAAGCAAAGTGAAGTACGGATTCTATTCTGCCCTTCCAGCGAAAAATCCACTCCTGAGAAGATGCCAGCACTAGAACAGCAAAAAATGTACAATTCAATAAGTAATCATTTGGAATAAAAAATGTTTGTCAGAATTTTCAGGTCTAATTAATTGTGCATTAATATATTAGCACTTCTAATCGTTAACCTTTTGGTAACAAAATACTATACAGAATTAATGATTTACATTGCTCATAAAAGTTTATAGTAACCTGACGACCAATAGTGAGACTTTCAGTTTTATGAATCTCCCAATGAAATTATATACAAAATGGGGCATACTATATTGCTTGTCATCGATATCGTTAACGACAAAGATAAAACAATAGTCTTTGAGGACAGCTAAAAGTCTCAACACACCTTTTGTAGATAATGCGATCGAAACGGCATCGAGCTTTTCCAGCAACTTTATTGTCATTCAGCAAAGTATCCCAAGTAAACCTGAATTTTGGTCTCGATCCTGCGGCAATCCATGCATCTTCGAATCCAGGAGGAAGTTCGCAAATCTATATTTTAGAATGATTACTTATTTAAAAGATATTAACAAAAATGACAAAGAAAATTATTTCATATATGTGAGATATTCAAGACACTTTAAACTCTTCCTACCAAAAAAAAAAAAAAAAACGAGCATAAAATAGAAAAATTGTTTTAGCTTCGGTACTTGAAATCTCAGCGAACAAGAATGATAAGAAGCCAAAGATACCAGAACTACCAGAATATCTGATACAAGTTCTCTTAGAATGAGAAAAAAGTTAAGTGTATTAGGAAAAACAAGACGTGAGATTATTTACCTCACCATCACGAGCATTTAGGTCACCTCCAAAAACGATAACAGTTTTGCCATCATCCCATTCAACCAGCTGTTTGAAACATTCTTGGATTTGTGTGAGTCTTATATCAGAATGTTCCTTCATACTTTCTAGATGTGTATTTAGCAGCATCACTTTGCGCCCCCGTAATGAAGTCTGAGAAAAAAAAATAGTAGAAAAAAAAAAAAAGTAGAACACAACATTAAAAATCTGAGCTATCAAACATTAATGGAACTGTCGATTGACGAGAAGTAGTATTATTTAGAATATTGAACACTAATACTCATTATGACCATATTTATACGCTACAAGACAAAAAGAGATGATCCTGCATTAACGGCGTCAGGATACGAGAGATAAAGAAAATATGAGATAAAAAAGTAAAGGTCAGTAAGTTAACTCAATTAAGAAGTTATAAACATTTCATCCAAAGAGGTAATATAAATTCAAAAGTTCATCGACCTCCACAAGCTGCATTGATCGTCCCATTCCTGAACGTCTGTATGGGATCGCTTTATGTGAGATTAACTCGATGAATGGCTTCAGAAGAACGACCGTAAAATATGGCAAATTTGGAGTTGCAACCAAGATACTGTACTCACCACTCAAATTCTTCCTGACCTGCGGAACCAAATCTGATGTCATTTCTTGTAGAAAAACTACATCTGCAGAAATCCTAAATTTGGTGAACATTGAACGAGCATAGCAACATTTACCTACTAGTAACTTGTTGTACTTATAACTTGTTTAATAAATCTAAATCTACTTATAAATTACTTAATAAACCAGGTTAATGTTTCTTGAGCCATATAGCGAGATGAAAACATTAGAATCACTCAATTACTCAGTGCATCTCTTGCGGGAGCGACAAGACTGAACACTGGTAAAAACCGATCATGGCTGTGCATGTCTTCTAAATATGTTAGAGTTTTTTGGAGTAAATCTTTTCGAACAGCATTTCAATCTCCTTTAGCACTACTGCATATTATTGATCTATATCAATATTAATATAGTGTAATTAATCCCATGCCAAGAACAGAAATAAGATTGTAAAAAAATGTGTCACAAACTTAGAAATTATGTAGCATACTGCAGTAAAACGAATAGTAAGATTATTTTCATCAAGACCGTCAATGTTCCACGACATAACAGTAAGCGAGAAATCGTCATTTGGTTCACTTGTAGGAAACTCAGTTGAATTAGTTTCCCCTTTGGTTTCCAGTGTATATGAGAAGAAACGATCTAGTGCAGGCTAAATAATAAGTAAAAGAAATAAATGTAGCACGTGAAGAAATTATAAAATTTTAAGATTCAGTGGACAGGACTATTAGTAGGTAAGAGAAATTTGTGATGGACATTAATATTATTTATTCCTTTCTATAAAATGAAATGACCATAGATACTTGCCTGCAACTGCCAGTTAAAATCTTGCAAAAAAAAGTGCGCACATGCTTCATCCGTTTTAGTGATTTGAACAAACTTTTTCAACGCTTCCTCACATTCCTCATTTGATGGTTCTATCTCCTGCAAAGAAACACCGTAAATACCGAAAAACCGGACGGAAAAGTTACGATAGATGATTATAGATAGCTGTGATATAAAACGTAACGGATTTCTCCAAGATCATATGGATCACAAATCATCCCCGATGGTAGCCTAATCGAACTTAGGTATGACTGCATAACATACTTCTATAGGAGAGCTTACACTACCATACTCAAAATCCTGCTAAATTTGCCAGTAAGTTGAACAATCAATTTTAAGCATTAGGATGTGCAACCATATTTAAGGTCACTCTTTCAACTTGCATAATTCATAACATAATGTTTCGTTAATGTGACACTCCCCCATTGATCGCTGTCACTCGATGAGATGAGCGGTTTGACTTTGGAAAATAGTCTGACTATATTCCATCTAAACCAAAAACCAACAGACAAAATAAACTTACAGAACTGCAATTCTCCGCATAATCCTTCGATTCAATTTTTTGTGGGCTCTCTGACGAGTTAACAGTATCCATTTTCAGTTATGAATATTATAGCCGGGTGGTTAGGAATTTATGGTGGAATTAAAGTCTGAAAATGGACACTGCAAGTTTTAATAGATTCCTATTGAAGTTAGAAAACCGATTTGTAACTTTCCTTCGTCTATCCTTTCCTCAATTCTAAACCTCAATAAACACAAATTTGCCGTCTTCTTTGCCGTTAAATTTAAATCGACGAAGGAACTGAAAAACGAAGAATGAAGAAGTTTGAAGAAAAGTGAAGAATATGTCATAAACCTCCCAGATTTATCCCGTGAACTCCTTCCAAAAGAACTAACCCTTATCCGAAATAAAAATAACACGTAACACTGCCAACTGAGATGAACGAAGAAACAATACTGGAAAGTCTGTTGGTGTCGGATTTGATTTTTAGCCTTTTAACCACCAACCTGAAGCAATATTAATTTGGGCCCATACACTTCCGAAAATAGGGTTTTCATAGGATTTCTAAAGTTTGGAGATTAATAGAATAGTGTTTAGATCTTTAGTAGAACTGAGAAGGCTAATATGACCAATAGGTCAGACGACTTATCGATCATAGAGCTTTTTAAAATTGGGGTATGAAGTAAGAGTAGCCGCAGCCAGCCGCAGTATAGATTTGTTTTTCTTTTCCTATACAATTCGAGATATTTTTTCCTTTTTTTTTTAAAAAAATAGAGGTCCCTTCAAAATTCACACTTTTTCAATTTGTATTTTTTTTTTTTGATTTGTTAGTTTTTTGGAAATCTTGGTCTGTGATTTTTTTATTTGAAGCATTCTGTGTTAAAATCTTTTCATAAGTTGTTTGAATTTTAGTAGTTCCATTTTTTTCTTTCTAGTGTTTTCCTTCGATAAATGAAAAATTGTAGTTTTCTTATTTTTTTTTCAGGTTCAATTATGTCCAATTGTGAAACGAAGGACTGTATTATTTCCAAATATGACTGCGACTATACACCAATGTATTGGTACGAACATTTTTCGAGGAGTAGATTGAATAGACCTAAATCGAAATATATCGCCTCACTTTCGGATCTTTGGGGATTGTTTCTATTATGCATTTGTAATTTAAATAAATGCTTCATTTTCTCGTAAGTTGTAAATGTTAGAATTCAATACAGCTTAAGTTATATCCTATTAGATCATGTCAGCCTTCCGTATTTACAGTGAAGAAAATATCTGGAAGTTATGTAAGAAAGTATCTGCATTGGACGAACTAAACTGCTGCAGTGCTGTATTCATTTCCAACAAAAATAGGATGGTAATGAACGGCTCAATTACTTGTATAGATTTTTGCACTTGTTTATCGCAATTTTGGACGCTTTATTTTAAAAATTATCAGCTTTGATTATCTACTTAAGTGTTTCACAAAACTGTCCCATGATTTTTTGAATAACATGCATTATTTTTAGGTTCCTTTGTGGAAACAACGTGCTGCTGCAGGACGAGACTACGTGATATGGGTTAGGACTAGTTTTGGAACATATTTTGAAATCTTTAGAGATTTTTTTTTGTATCTTAGCCATATTAAGCAGTCCTCTTTTGTTACAGGATTATCATGTAATCTTGTTATACTCAAAGTCGGGTTTAGTATCTGTGTATGACTTTGATACAACGTTAACATTTCCTTGTGATGCTCAAACATACTGGACTGAGACAGTTCGTCCGGAACTGAATTTGGATGCGAATTATCACAGGTATGTTTCATTTCTTTCATACGTAAGGTGCAGCAGATAAAAGGGAAGTACTGGTTCTAATATTTGATACTTGGAGTATTGTATGATAGTTGTAGAAACTTAACTTTGAAAATAAGGGAAAGGAACGGAAATTTTATCTGCTATTCTATGCGAAGTTTACTTTTTTCTTCCACTTTTTTGTGTTTCAGGTGTTTTCGAATCATTAGTGGCTCACATTACCTGCAGCATTTTTCTTCTGACCGAAGTCATATGTTGGAAACTAATGGAAATCATAAAGCACTACCACCTCCTTGGCCCCCCATATATGATCCAGGTATCCTTTATAGCCGTCGTTTAACTGGAACCTAGTTGGTTCATGACAATGAATTTTATTCTTTATTCAATGTTCTTTATTGGTTTCAGGCATCGGAAATAACCTTCATAGCTTTATATCGATGGACAGTCATTTGTTGGAAAATATCAGCAAAGTTTATGATGAAAATTCATTTAGTGAATTCATTAATGAACAGTTAAGAAGTGAATGTTAAATTTACTTATGCATGTTTGTTAAATAGGTATACATCTGTCATATTAATTTCATTTTTATATACTTTATCTTCGTAAATATTGATATTTGGTGTATAATATATTTTTAGCATGGTTCGATTTCTTTCACTGGATTTATATAGGTGAAAAAGGGATATTAAGGCTATGTATTAAAAGTAGAGGCGTTTTATAACTTTAGATGATTTGAAATCACTATTGTGCTTTTTTCTTTAGAAGTGCTGTCAAAATTTCTTTCATGTGCATACTGCTGTTCATATCCTTGCTGCGTAAGTCATTTGATTTAACCATAAGATAAATTCATCATTGGTGATTTTTCAATAAATTATTGTAAATTGCTGGATTTGAAAAAACTTCATAAATTATCTTCACATGGGATTTTAATGCACTGCAGTCAAATCTCCGGAGTTCTACTGTTTGTGGTTACGCAAGAAATCAAGTGTTTTCGAAATCTCAAACCGGTTTTGTTCAGGAATTAAATTGATAATGTTGCGATCGCTGAAGTTAAATTCCGAAATGACGACCTCGTTTTGTCATTTATTCCTTATAGGAAGGTCAGGTAATCTTCAAAATTGTTCTTTAAAAGGAATTCTGCTTGTTTGTTTTTGCCTAATCATATGTACACTGAGTAAAGGTGAGTGTTTTCAGATTTGAATTAAAGCGTGCTTTTACTACTTCAGCACCAGTAAAAAATATTAAGCAATTTTGCGCTGATCTTGCGAAAAGAAATCTTATTTCTACCTCACATCCACCAAATTTGTCGAGTGATGATTTTAAGATAGTATCAACTCTTCCCGATGTTATTTATGCAGGTAATTCTGTGGGTAACTTTTACAATGGACTGCTTTTTATTCAAGATAGTTGAGCTAGGTTATTTCTTTATATGGTTCTTTTTTTTTTATGGTAGAAAATTGTTTCATTATTTCAGGATTTGACCCTACAGCGGAGAGTCTTCATATTGGTCATTTACTAATATTAACGAACTTATTTCGAGCAGCTTTGCACAGGTGTCATGCAATTGCCCTGATCGGTGGAGCCACTGCACATGTTGGAGATCCGAGTGGTCACATTACAGGTGCCGTGCTTGTTATAGCCGTAGATTTCAGGTGTGACTGCCGAAAGCCATTAATTGCCGATTGTTTTTCTCTACTTTTTCACTCTTCAACTTTTCAAAAGAGATCCACGTCGTATTAAAAAATTTCAGATCGAAATATTGTTCCGGGTCATGAAATCGACCAGTACGTTAGAAAAATCAATTTGCAATTAGTAAGGTTATTTAATAATTTCACAGAGAATAATGTCCCAGCGAGGAAGCATCATCTATCGATCGTCAATAATTCTGATTGGCACTGCAAGGCAAGAAAGATTTCTAAAATAGCATAACATAATCCACATTTTTATATCGACAGTGATGAATTCTTTACTTTGGATGTGAAATATGGAATTTCAGAGAATATATATATTTCACTGCTCGAATTGAAAAACTGCAAAATCTCTAATGTTGGTTCTTATTCAGCTAGATGCAAGATTGGGTTTCTTGCAATTCACTTACAGTAGTGAATCTGAAATAACACTAACTTGTGTTTCAAACATCCACATCATTTCTTGTAGATGAGCTCCATTCGATTTCTAGAAGTCTGTCGTGATTTTCGATTAGGTGATATGCTTAGATTGGGAATGGTCAAATCCCGGATGCGCGACGGGTCAGGCCTTTCTTGCACTGAATTTTTATATCAGATACTTCAGTCATATGATTGGTATCGCCTTTCGCGTGACTATAACTGTCACTTTCAAGTAAGGGAGAATATCCGCAAGAATTTATCACTGAACAACAATTTTGTTATTTACAAACTTGGCAGTCAATTTGAATATAAGTGCAAATGCATATAGGAAAACAGAGTCAGTTTTGTTGTGTTTTATATGGAAAAGTATGCAATGCATATATATGAGTGGTTATAATTATTATAGATAGGTGGAAATGACCAACTCGGCCATTTTGACGCAGGTTACGATTATATAAAAAGGAAGACTGGGAAGATATCTGCCAGCATTTGTTTGCCTTTACTTACTGATGCTCAAGGGAAAAAACTCAGCAAAACTTCAAAAGAACATAGTAACATATGGCTAGACGAACGAAAAACATCGCCTTTCACTTTTTACCAGTATTTTCGTCAGAAACCAGACTCAGTTATCATTCCCTTGCTAAAGCAAGTTTATGTGTTTTACATTCATCCTTTCATTGCTAGCAACAGTATATATTTTAATGTATGTTTAAACTTCAGAGCACTAGAACTTTTTGTTCTTGAATTTTTTGAACACTGGACATTCTATAGAAAAATACCTATAGAGAAACGAAATTCATATATGATTGAAGTTGCATTGACTTGTTTTCTGAACTTAATGAATGCAACTGTCTTCCAACGAACTCTATTAAGTTTTGCTGTTTTTATAGGCACTTTTCTTTGCAAACTATCGAAGAAATCGAAGAAATTGAACGGGAGCACCAAGCAAATTTAGGAAAGTGGATCGCTCAAGAGAAATTAGCGGAAGAGTTAACAAAGCTTGTACATGGAAATAATGGGTTGAAAATTGCAAAACAATGCTCGAAAATGCTTTTTAGCGGTAATTCTTATTGGTCGTGTAAGCATCAGTTTGTGGTGAGACTAATAGTGTATGAAGGAACAGTTTCAGATTCTCTTTCTGAATTGCGGAAGATGCCAACTTCGTTTATAGAAGAACAGTTCGGTACTGCATCTGTACAGCAGCTTTTTCGATCCAGGTTTTCAACAATAGGGGAATTAGCGGACAAAATACATAGTGGTGACGGATCTAGCATAAATAAAATGAAAACAGGAGCTTTGAAGTTGAACGGAATACAGTTTACAAATCCTGATGAAGTGATCGATTTCGACAAGATTTGTTTGAATGGCAAAAATATCACACTTGTTTGTTGGGGTAAACGAAAGTATCATTTAATTAAATGGATTGGTTGATTAAGGTTTGAAAATTACTTTGTATGGTACTCAGTCATTCCTTTTGCTTTGATCATTAAACTTTAGAAATGGCAGGAGTGCGCATGTTACAGTACTTTACATTGGCGTGTAAAATACCAAAATATCACAGCTGGTTTGCATGAAACAAAAATCTGTTACCTATTTATGGTAGATGTGCTTGAAATTTCCACCGATCGTATTCTATGTATACAATAACCTTTTGTCAGATTTATTGTAGTGGTCCTACCACGTCGTCCATAGAGCGTTTAGAGTATGTAGCAAAGAAATATTCTCAGAACTATTTTCGAGGAATATTTTCATGAAAACTTGGTTAGCCAATGAAACTGTTTAATAATGGAACACGTTGTCTGTTTACTGCTGCTTTCGTGCTGATTTTGATCCTACGAAATTTTTTTCGCTGCTTTCTAGTTCCTGTTAATTTGCCTGTATTAATTTATTTACTTGCTAAAGTAATAATTCTGTTTTTTTTATTTCTTAAAGTAATAATAACGGCAAATTTCCTTGTGGTATGAAGCATCCCATTAATTCTCTAGCTGCTGGAGTCCGAGATTTTAATAACATCACCAACATTATTGCAAAGTTATATTACTACTCAGTTAAACATATAAACATATATATATTTATATAACAATTTTCAAATTTAAATCACACTTTAGGGCTTATTTGCTTCCATAAACCAAACCACATGTGAAAGTGCGAGGAGGGTGCTGCTTTTACAAGATTTTCACAAGTTCCAGTGGATAGAAACTAATTCTAATTTAGGCGGATAACCTTGTTTTCGTGTGAAATCAAGAAATACAATTCAAACTTGACACTCAACTCGAAATCCAACTTCAATTCCTCTTCATCCATCATCCCTTGCTAATCCGCAAACGCGCGAACTGTGCTGAACAAGTCCCAATCTAAACCCAACCCACCTTGATCGATCAGCATTTCGGAAATTCAGGGAGCCGTTATTTGTAGATCGCCGAACTTTGCTGAAACGAATTATAAGGCTTTGTAATTCAAATGAGGAGATAGCGGGAAATTATTGTGTTGAGTTTGTGCGGTGTAAGGTGTTGTGGTTTGTGGGTGATTAGCTTGGCTTTTCTAGAAGTTTTGACGGTTATGATATATTTCTGTGCACTTATATCACTAATAGGCATCAACTTAGCAAAACAGCTATTCGAAATATGAATGCCCTATTTCACACTTCATTACACTGCTACTGTATATTGATGAAGATTGCCTCTACAACAACTAGGAGTGTACTTGTAAAATAAAGTGGAACCCATAAGTAAGAACAGTTAGATTGCTGATTTAGTAGTCCTTTAAGAGTAGAACTGTTGCAAACGACAATTAATATGTTGAAATAATTTTCATAAAAATGGCCGAAAATATAGCGAGAAGTAAGTTAACAGCAATGTTGCACTATATGCCAGAGATTATTTGGCATGATAGGGACTCCTTACTTTCTGTGGATTTTCAAACACAGGAGAACGATGGAGTCGATTTTTATAAGGTAAAATTTATTTAATTTACCTTAATCTTCTTTATATTGCAGTTCAATGTTTTTTACCGATAATATAACGTATTAAAACATACCTGTATATTGCGTTTATTAAGGGAAGTTTATCTTATCTCAATAATCAAAACATTCTTTTATATATTTGATAAGCTTTTGATAGTTCGGATCTTATAAGGTGAGCCGATAACGTTTTTTCGTCTTTTTAGTAATTTATCATACGTTAAGCGTTGATATTGCCAGTTAACACTATTCCAGATGATTTTAACACAATAAAAGATCATCTATGTTTATTGCAATTATAGTTGGTAACATGTAGCTTACGAAAAGAAGTACGAATTTGGAAGATGGATTTTCGGATGTTGCCGTTTGGAATTGAAGATCTTGGAGTATATTTCATTGCAAATTTAGTTGGTCATCGTACGACTGTTAATGTTGCACGCTTTTCACCAGATGGTATTTTTTTTAATCAAGAGTATGGCGATATTGAAAATTCTTATCAATCAATCTTTTTCTTATCAATTTTCTTGTCAAATAATTTTTATAAAACTGAAGGACAATTCCTTGCGAGTGGAGATTGCGATGGTTGTATAATCATTTGGAAAATTGATACGAACAGTCCAAACCTGATATCGCCACGAGATGACGACTTCCCTTCAAATGTTGAAAACTGGGTCAGATACAAAACTTTATTAAGGTAAGAAAATTTGCATAAAATATTGAGCACATTTGATAGCTCGAAGTTTGTGTTACATCTATTTTTCCGAGTGATGAAGCACTATGTCTTTTCTTTGCAATCACTTTCGTAAAAAAGTGAGTCCTTAATTAAAACCCAGCCTCATCTTGCTTTGTGATTCGTTATGAGATGATATTGTAAGACTTTTTAAACTGTTCATGCTTTTTATAATGAATTCGATTCAGCCACGATAGTGATATTTGTTCTTTGTGCTGGAGTCCGGATAGCAAGCGTTTTGCCATTGTTTCCAATGATGAATCTTTCGCAATATATGAAGCAAATACAGGTGATATTCAGTCAAATATTATTTTACTTCAAAAGGTTGATTTTTATATCGACTAATTCCTAAGGAATGAATGGGGACATAAAAATTTGCAGAAAGAAAGTCGTAGCAATAAACTTGTAAAACAGTAAACAGGTAGACGCTTGTGGCACATGAGGTCATATCGACGTTTCCCAAATGGTGTTGCGTGGGATCCACGTGGGAAGTATATCGTTACAATGTCCACTGATAGGAAATTGGACATTTTGTGTGGGAAGAAAGGAACTCGTTTAATATGCATCCAAAATGTTCGCTTGCCGGAGACAGTTTTACGAAAATCAAATTTAACAGTTGGTGTAAGTTTTAATTTGATTTGTTTCGAAAAATAAGACATACAACTTATGCTTGATCCATTAAGGAATATTAATTGATTTCATTGCCAAAAAAGAATCCTTATTTTAGAGTTACAAGTTATTTCACGATGATCAATTAATGTCCTTCTCTAGGATTCCGGATTTCTCACCTGACGGTGAATTGCTAATTGCACCAAGTATGTTAAAAAAAATTTTTTTTAATATTATATGTTGAATCAAGGTTTTTTATTCCTATGTGTGAAGGAAGAATAAACAAGAAAGTAGAATTTCTGATTTCAATTTAACTTTTCTATCTCTTTCGTGCGTATTATATGCATCTGTGGAATTCTGAGTAAATCATAAAATTTCTACTACGTTATTATGTCTTCTCATCACATTTAGGTGGTATTTTGGAGACGGGTTCTTCAAATGTTTTCGGGACCTATATTTTTCGTCGTCATGAGTTTCCGAAGTAAGTTTTACAAGTAAAATTCTTCTTTGAATAATTGTTAAACAATCATGAAGTTTCCAGTAGTATCAGTGACGACCTAAAATATTACTTTTGGAAAATTTAATATATATGACACTTCACATTTTAGCACAATCGTATTTCATGATACCGAAAGATTTCATTATTTATAAAGAAAGTAGGCAACCTCAGAAGGGTTAACAATGGGAAATCGGACCATTAAAAATTGATCGAACTTTTTCTTTGGGTACCATTTTCAGTTGGGACTTTGTATCTACATTTTTAGAGGTCGTCCGGCTGCATTTATTCCTTCTTCAAAAGCTACTTTTCGTATATCTTGTTGTCCTGTCTTGTACAAACTCCATAAGAAAGTTGTCGGTAACCCATTAAAGTAAGTTTTTATTTGATGGAATTATGTTATAGGAAGTTTATTAAGAAGAAAAAAATTGTTTTATATGTTTCTTCCAGTCTGTAATTGATCTGAGAAATTTGTTAAAAATTCCTTCGAAACATTGTTCTAAATAATGCTAAGAAGTCTATTTAGACTTCCATATCGCATTGTTTGGGCTGCACTAACGAAGAATACTGTGTATATTTTCGATAGCCAACTCTGCAGATGTGTGGCTTGTGCTACTAATCTTCAGTACGATACTCTCACAGATATGTCATGGAGTCCTGATGGACGAGTTTTGATGATTTGTTCTTTGGAGGGTTATATTAGTTTCATCAGGTATGTAAGTTTTTATCAAACCGTATTTCACTTATGTACTATCGTAAACTTATCTCTATCTTCCCTCAGATTAACTGTTGTACTAATCTATTGTTTTCGGTTTAGTTTAAGCATTAAGTTGAATTTCAGTTTTAGACGTTTATAAGACTCTTCAATTTAGGAAAATATTAGAATTTTTCATTCATTGGTTATCATTTGTATGCTTTCGTTTCATGCATGGTTGTTCGAATAATTTTGTTCAGGTTTGACGAAGTGGCGCTAGGTGAAAAATATACTGAAAAAATACCTGAACTTCCACCATCCCCGATATTTGAACGAGATAGAAAAGGACCTAAGTATAGTAAGTGATTCCGTGAGTGTTCAGTTTTCCAGTCAGATAACTGGAACCAATTATTCAGCAGCTTCAGATATTGTTGCTATTATATTGTGATGAATTTTACAAAGTACTGCTATCAGAAATTTTCAGGGAATTCTTTAAATCAATTTGATGAAAGACAAAGAGAGAGCTCACCACCAAATTCACTTCTGAAATATTTTAGAAGAATTTCCTCATCCCAAACAGGAAAGGAAGGAGATCAAGCTAAGACGTAAGTTTGTATTTTTGAACTATTAATTACGACTATCTAAAATTATAATATTCAGAAAGATGTTATTATTAATTGACAAATATTAACTGGTGCAACTATTAGAGTATTTTGATTTGGTATACGGTTGGTGTTTTTGTATTTGGCTAGAGCAATTACAAAAGAAAACATTCAGAGGCATATCAACACTAGACAGCAGAAGGAAAGAAGTTGATGATGCTGCAAGCTCTAGCGGTAATCCTCGAATAATTGTGAAGCGTCCTGCTAAATTTGACGGCAGTAAAAAGGAATCTGATAATAAAGTTAGGGACAAGAAACGGGCAAAGTTAACTACGTCACCATTGTTATAATTTGAAGAAATTACATATGTTATTTTTTGTTCATCTCTTGACAAAGCTTAAAATAATCGCCATACTTATTATGAATTTGTTTTCAAGGTGTGAACTCATGTCTTTATATGTATCTTAAATTATCTATTAATTATATTCTTGTCTTGTATTCCGTATCCACTTGTTCTGTTCAACAAACCCTTGCTTTTATCTGGTAATATTGTCTTAATCTTGTTGCGTCTCATAAGTTTCCATTTCACTTTTGTTTTGGATGACTTTTTTGCATTTTCTGCGATTTTGTTTTTATGATCCTCCTTTGATTTTCATGTTGACGTCCGAATTTATTTTGAATGGTTTTTAAATTTTTCTTTGAGCAATTTCTGGTGATGTTACTTCTCTTGTTTGACAGTTTCTAATAGTGACTGATCCAGTGAGTCCTTTAATCTGCTTCCGAAGCAATTACATCTATAACTTAAGTAAAATAGGCCAACTGCCAATTTCTTTTTTATTTTCTGGAATTACTTCAACTATTATTTATATGCTACCATTTTATTTCCCAACAGCGACCATTCCTAATAGTATATGATAAAAGAATATCATCATGGTTTGGCGCTGTGGAACAGCTATTTTTACCGAAGGGGAAGAATGTTTATCTTTCATGTCGAAACTATTTCATAAATAGTTTTGACCGATCAGATAAGAGCAACTAATTTTTCGGACATGTAATTAAACTGATGAAATTATGGTCTATGATATGTCGTGGTATAATTCAGTTTCCCTGCTGAAAATTCTGTCTTTATAGACTGTGCCTTCATTTTCTGTTAACATTTTATCTCATTTGTTAGCGTATTATATGCTTCCTTTACAATTAATATTCTCGATGACTCTAACTCAAAAGCTGAGTTCGGTTACTTTGCGAGGACTTTAGAAATTTAGCTACAAATATTCCTTAGAAAAAGACAATAATAGCAGAGATGAAACAATAGTTTTGTGGCGCATGATGCCGTATAATTAAGCGATATATACTATCAGTTGTAAACAAAGTACTGGTTAGTATTAGAATTATATTCTACGAAGGAATTTCAAACCATATACCATGTAATTGATCGTTTTGGCAACATTTTTAGCAATAAATGTCGATTATTAGTATATCAAATCTTCTATTTTTCTTGTTTTTCTGTTTGCTGATACCACTGGCGTTAGAATCCTTAAAGATATTGGAATTATTCCAAATTCAGTACAGTGTACAGTTTACACTGTTGACATCTGAGGTTATCTCTGGACTCTTCCTAGGTAGTTAATAAAGAATTGTATATCCTCAGATACTGATTTTCCAACAAAAACAGAAATTCCCATTTTGTGAGGAACAATGAACAGTTAAAAAAAGAATCATTTTCGACTTATGAATCGTAAAAAAGAGTAGAAAAAAAAAGACCAATTTTTTGTTGATATTGTTCGCTTATGATATGATTTAGAGAGGGAAATACTTCTCGGACCATTTGTATCATGCCATATGCAATAACAATCATTCGTAGTTCATTATCTGCTTGTGGCATCCATTCCAATCTAAGTTTTTCTTTTTCCATTATTTCTCAAAAAATAGTTAAAATCTAAAGTCGATTGCATTGTTTTTATGAGGTTATTATGATCATCAAGAATATTCAAGGATTTTGTTCGGAGTGTATAATTGTACTCAATTATATATCGGGAAGATGGGGAATATCATTCTATTGCTATCTATTTGCATTTCCTTTTGGGACTAGAATCATCAAATTTCAAATAGTAGTAATAGAACACTAGAATATCTGATTTTTTTGTTCAAGATATCATTTTTTAAAACGAAATGTAGTTTACCGTAATGAATCTTCATCGAAAAATGTACAATTGGGCCGAATGAATGCATAAATTTTGCCTTCTTTTATGAATTGCCATTTAGTGCTCGTAGAAAAACAACAACGATATGATGTAAAAAAATTGGAAATTGAGTTTGATACGAGTTTAATTTGGCATCGATCACATTGGTCAACATATGATGAGATTTGGACGATATTTGAGCAAGGTAATTCCAAAAATTCGAATATTCTCATGCCTCAAATTCATTTTAGTGTGTTTTAATCCAATTTTCCTCATTCTTTTATTAGAATTTAATTTCACCATATTTCTTTTACGGATAGAATATGCTTAGGAAATCTGGTCATCTGGCAACAGATACAGGAGGCTTTGAATTCATTAAACGAATGGAAGTTCAAATTTCATTTTTAAAAACTCCCAGCTTAGTATAAATTTGAGGTCAGTATTACAGTTGACCTGATATAGGTTGCCTAATTTTAGCTATCACAGTTCCACATTCTTCAGGATCGGAATCATCGAACGTAATTGAAAAAATTCTCTTGATGCCTTTAGAAAGAATCATTTCCTCAGGTCGTAAACTAACACTGAGCACACGAACGTTATTTTCATCCGTTATTTCAAAATCAATCGGACTGAAGTTCACTATATTTTTGATAATATATCCTTTGATAGCCGCTTGAAGCTGCAATAAATGTGACAAGAAAGGACATGAATTGTTAATTCAGATAAAACTTCAAAATTCATTTCAACAGTTAATTTGTAATCGTTGTTTTATAGTCAAAATAATGATAACAAATCCTGTATTAGTAAATGCAAAAAAAAGTAATTCACCTGAGCAACATCTACTAGTCGTATATTAAGCATCTTATAATATTGAAGCAATGGTAATGGATCGAGTTTTGTTAGTTGTGGTGCCACTGTGGTCGAGAAACGTCTAGCTGTCCGTGTAAGTTGAGCTGTTAGGGAATGCTTTCTCGAATTCATCATGCTGCTACAACTATTTTTATGGGATCGATTATTATCCGATTCCATATTCATCGTATAAGAATTACTAAATTGCAATAATGTTTGATAGATGATAACATTTCAACAGTATGAAATGATATTTATCAATAGTTGAGATTGCAATTTGGCATCAGTGAATGGATAATAAATATTCGGAAAATGTATAATAAAAAATTTTTTAAAGATTAGTCATTTTTAGTTCTTGTTTTTTTCTCGGAGACTGATTGTCTGATATAACTATATATATAGAATTTTCTCCAAGAGAATTTGTTAAATGTGGAAATTTTCAGCTTTTAAAATATTTGGAAGAATGTATTTTTCAGGATATGAAAAATCATTGGCAGATATTTTTGATTGTAAAACTTTTGATATCAATCTGATTTCACTGTTTAATCAGATGGTACCGATCAAATTTCATCCTTTAACGAAATGGCATATTATTAGCATTCGTCAGTTATCAATTTTTTCATATCAGTTAATAGTTAAGGATTAAATCATCTTGAAGGAGAAATTCACATGTTTAATAACGTGCAACATGAAATTTAAGCATAATTTTTATCTCTTGAAAGTATTATTCAGAAAGAAATTTGTTAGAATTCACTAATTATAAATATAAAAATTAACGAATGAATAATTTGAGTTCATTTGAAATTTTAAAACTTCTTAGAATAACGAAATTGTGTACATAATATGTCAAAATATTTTATTATAGTTATGTTAAGGAAGATAACGCTGAAGTAGAAAATACGGCGGGCATGAAATGTTAGTACAAGAAGTGATCGCGTTCTGGGCTTTCCCAGGAATAACACTTACTATTCCCAAGCGTGTTTTTTACCATTCAAATTTTAGTGTAAAAAAAAAGCAAAGTTAATAAAACAGATTGTCTGAAGTAAGTAAGAAGATGGAATCGGCAATATACTGCAATCCCGAGAGAATGCGGAAAAAGAAACGCAAAAAAAAGAGTTCTAGAAAAAAAGGCGAATTTTCTTATTAGTTAAGTTAGTAGTGTGTAATTTTAAAAATAATTGTATAAAGCTTTTTCCTTCGCATTTTTCTTAAACAAATCAATATTGTTTTTGTTTCCTGAGGAAAATTCGATAAAGTAAACCTGTTAGCTCTTATAAAACTTTTAAAAATTAGCAAATATTTTATTCGGTTTTTTACAGTAAATAAAGTTCGAAATTTCGGTATGAACATCGAGATATGTTTATTGTTAGATGTGATGTAATATCAATTCCTTTCATTTTCTATATCTTAAATGAACATTTGATTGCAAACATTTCCTAGACAACAAAATATTTCATCACAAAGGTCGGAATCAAAAGTTTAAATAAATAAATGTTATGGAGACATAACACAGTATTTGTATGTTTATGTATGTAGATGTTCACATTTGTAGTTTATGTATTTAAATGTACATATATGCTTATGTATTGTGTGTGCGTGTGTGTATGTGTGTACTTTAAAGTTGATAAATGTGAAAAAAAAACGGACGCTTATATTCTTCAAATTATGCTAATCATTAGTGTTTAAAAACATAATGAAAATTTATAGCCAATTATTTGGAAAAATCAGTTGAAATAATTTACATTAAATTATAAATCTTTTAACAATAATCATAGAAGCGGCAACTGAAAAACTAAGAATAGTAAATAAAATTTTTGAAAACGAGAAAATTATTTTTGGATTTGTATTCATTAATAAATTATTGCACAAGAAGTGTAATGATTCCGTATGATTAATGTATAAAAATAATTTTTAGAATGCAAATTGTTTTAACTAAAAATGCGATTTTTTTAAATTCATTATTAGTATAGTTAAATAAAGTAAGTATAAAATATGAAAAGATAAAATGACCAAGAAAACATTTGAATCAAAAAAAAAACTACTACTTAACAAATAATTAATTATTCGAACAGTACCTTTCATAAGAAAATGAAAATTCGCTGATTAAAATAATTCTTTGATATTCATATAAGTTTATCCAACTTTGCTCCTCACATTCCTTTTTTTTCTTCAACTTATTCTTAAATGTTTAGTTTTTAACAGTAAACTTTTACAATAAAGACGTTGAAGGAAAAAGAAAGTACAGAATAATCAATGCGACAAAAAAATTCTATACCGAAAAATATTTTTTTTCATGTATAAAACAACTTCATGAAAACAAATATTGAAATGTTAGATTCCATTTGGTTTCATTTGTTTAAGCGATAAGTCATATCAGAAGTTACATTGAGAAAGAATTCAGAAGCGATCAATGGAAAGTACAAAGTTAATTTCTAAGCTATTATCTCATAATCCGAATTAGACTAACATACAGTACAACGTGGGCAAGAAGTTGAACAGTTTAGTGTAATAAGATTTATCAGATAAATCCTCCATTCGAAAAAAAAAAAAAACGATATTTGTTAATTGCATTTTTTGCATAAAAGCAAATTTTCATTTAAATGCATTTATTATTATTTTAATAATGAATTTGATATTTTATTTCTGAAATCCTTTACTTCTTTTTGGACTATTTTTCCAATTTTTAAAGGTCGAAAGTTTAAAAAACATAAGTGACATCATATTTTTAATATAACATATTGTAATATTCCCCGGATTAATTTCCTTATTTGTTTTTTTCCTCATAGTAAAAAATTAAAATAAGTTCCTAAGAGAAAAAAAAATACTTAAAAAAAATAAGTTCTAAAAAAATAGTTAAGGAAGTTGATGAAATTCCATTTTCAATCAAAGTATTTGCTTTTGGTTAAATTAAATGCGAAACTTTCCGTTTTCCTCGTAATCAATCCAGAAAGATGTAAATATGGAATAAACAGGATTGATGATACTTTGGAAATTCTGTCTCTTAGAAAAATACCTGTCAGGACAAAGACTGATTAAATAAATTGACCATTAAATTTGTTACACAGTTTGCCACATTTTACTGATAACAACACCATCGTCACGCATGTAGGATTTTAAATATATTCATTCATACGGGGATTTTCTATTATTTAAATTATTCCTCGAATTTATTTATTTTAAGTGGGCCAAAATTGCGAGAGGATTTTATTTAAAGTGCAATTAACGAGCCAAGCTTTTCCGCTCCATTAAATTTCAATTGTCAATTGTGCTTCATCATACAAGATAATGGATTAAAGAACTGTTTTTCTACTTTTCTTTGTCTTTCGTAAAAATTTGCTTCAAATTTCATATTTTCTTTCTTATACAAAATTTTTTCTTAAGTGCTTTGCAATTCGTTGTTATGTTTTATGAAATAATTAATTGTGCTGTTCAAGAAATCAGCTCCATTGATAATTCAGTAAGTTGAGAGTTACACTTAAATCAAACACAGAAGATCGAAACTTCTAGAAAGAAAAAAAATAATCATTGAATTATTTGTAAAGATGAGTAAATCATGAAATAATTAATGTTGCTTATAAATTAAATTTTTCCTTAAACAAAAGTATAGCCATCGATGAAGAAGAAGAAATTAATATCAAAAATTATTAATTTTATGATGTTAATATTTTCAACGTGATCTAAAACGATCAAAATATTAATCGAGCAATTCTTTAACAAAAATGTATTAATGCAAATAACATAATTGAAATTAATTGCAAATCACAAACTTGTACAATTTTTTATATAATTAATCATGTAATCGACTCTAAGCTTTTTTCGATATCGAATAATTTAGGATAACTATAAAAACTGCTGCAAATATATTAGATAGAGCAAATAAGGAAAAAAAGAAAAATTTATTTTTAAAATTAACATTAAACAGCAGTAAAGGACTGAAAACAATATTAATATATAAATTTAGCATAATTCAAAATAAATGATAAACGAAAAGAAAAATTTTCATTTATCTGAGATTACTTCATTTCTCATAATGCTCATTAAAACAATGCAACAAGATAGCTGTTACTGATCGAAAATGAATATACCTAATTTACCTACCTTATTATATACTTATTATAAAATCTCAAAATAAAGTGTCATCAACGATTCATTCCATTATAAAACCACAATGATTTGATACATATTGCTGAATGCTTTTCACTAAAAATTTTTAATGCCTTTGTATTGATATATGAGCTACAAAATATTTACAAACGTTTATTTATGGACAGATCAGAGAATTTGAAAAGAAATAGGTTATCGGCTGGTTCATCTTGTATGACTGAAATGAATGATGAACGGCCTTGACGCATATCATTCTGTTTATACAAGCCTTCTTTTTCTTCTTCCTACCTTTTTTCCGCTTCATCCTTTCTAAACGAACTGTTTCACTATTCAATACAAAGCCTAAATTTCTATTATACATCAACACTTTACCAATCTTTTCCATTCACTTACTCCTCCTTCATCCTTCTTTTCATCTCCTAATTCTGATTCATTATTTAATTCCAGAAATAACACACTTCAATACCGAATGGATATAAGTCAAAATACAAAGGAATTTTTCTCGTTTCTTTTCTTCTCTCTCCGTACAATTACCAAATTTATCAATTTAATTCTCAAAAATAATTTCCCATCTTATTTGTAACGCTAATTGTTCATAACAGATTATTTTATTCGATTCGATAACAAAATCTATTTATAGGAATTCTGAAAAGTCTTCTAAGCTCTGTTATAACATTTAAGAAGCTGGTCGGATTTATTCCTTTCATTCTACAAACTATTTTTTTATCTTTTTCATTTCAATTTTACTAATTCTGTAAATGACACATCCGTTTCATCCTCAACACACTATATTGTATTATATATATACTTACATCATACATTATATATGTGTATTTTAGTTTTTTATAAATATATGTATAAACTTTCAAAACATCCAATAGATTAACAGATCAATAGCAACCATTAATTAATTTTGTATTTGGTGATGAAGACCGAAACTTCGCTTCTCCCGCCAAATTGTTAACTTTGCAATACACAACTTTTTTTTTTGAGAAATGAAAAAAAAAGTTTCAACCTTTTTTTTTTCATTT